AAGATACAAAAGCAACATACAAAAATCTGTAGCATTTCTATATACAAATAGCATACCCAAGCTGAAAAACAAGAAGACAGTCCCATTTATAGTAGCTACAAAAAAATTACCTAGGAATAAATTTTTTGTTTGTTTGTTTGTTTGTTTTTTTGAGATGGAGTCTCACTCTGTCGCCCAGGCTGGAATGCAGTAGCGTGATCTCAGCACATTGCAACCTCCGCTCCCCGGGCTTAACCAATCCTTGTGTTTCTGCCTCCCGAGTAGCTGGGACAACAGGCGCACACCACCACGCCTGGCTAATATTTTTCTTATTTTTAGTAGAGATGGGGTTTCACCATGTTGGCCAGGCTGGTCTCAGACCTCAGATGGTCTGCCTGCCTCGACCTCCCAAAGTGCTGGTATTACAGGCGTGAGTCACTGCATGTGGCCTCCTAGGAATAAACTTAACCAAAGAAGTGAAAGATCACCACAAAGAAAATGATAAAAGACTGATGAAAGTAACTGAAGAGGAGGCTGAGCATGGTGGCTCACACCTGTAATCCCAACACTTTGGGAGGCCAAGGCAGAAGGATTACTTGAGGTCAGGGGTTCAAGACCACCCTGGGCAACATAGTGAGATCCTATCTCTTTTTTAGAAAAATAAAATTAAATGTTAAGAACAGAAATTGTAGAAGACACACAAAAAATGGAAAGATAGCCCATGCTCATGAATTGGAAAAATTAGTATTGTTAAAGTGTTCATACTACCCAAAGCTAGCTATAGACACAATGCAATCCCTGTCAAAATACCAATGACATTCTTCACAGAAATAGAAAAAACAATACTAAAATTTGTATGAAACCACAAAAAAACCCAAATAACCAAAGAAAACTGGAGGCATCACACTGCCTGGCTTCAAAGTGTACTACAAGGTTATAGTAACCAAAGCAGCGTGGTACTGCCATAAAAACAGACACATAGACCAGTGGAACAGAATAGAGAACCCAGAAATAAATGGATTGGCTGTAAATGCATGGAATTTTTGATTGTTTGGAGACAAGGTCTCACTCTGTCATCCAGCCTGGAGTGCAGTGGTGTAATCTTAGCTCACTGCAACCTCTGCCTCTCAGGCTCAAGCTATCCTCCCGCCTTGGCCTCCCAAGTAACTGGGTCTAAGGCATGCACCACCACGCCTGGCTAATTTTTGTATTATTTGTAGAGACAGGGTTTTGCCATTACACCCAGAGTGGTCTCAACCTCCTGGCCTCAAGTGATCCACTCATCTCGGCCTCCCAAAGTGCATTACAGGCATGAACCACCACCATGCCCAACCAGTGCGTGGATTTTTGACACTGATGCCCAAAGCATACATTGGGGAAAGGATAGTCTCTTCAATAAATAGTGCTGTAAAAACTGAATAGTCACATGCAAAAGAATGAAAATAGACCTCTATTTCTTACCACATACAAGAATCAAATCAAAATGCATTAAAGACTTAAATATAAGGCCTGAACTATGAAACTACTAGATGAAAACATTGGGGACATGCTTCAGGACGTTGGTCTGGGCAAAGATTTTTTGGGTAAAATCTCAAAAGCATAGACAGCAAAAGCAAATATAGACAAATGGGATTGCGTCAAGCTGAAAAGCTTCTGCACAGCAAACAGTCAACAGACTGAAGAGGCCACCTACAGAATGGGAGAAAATGGTTGCAAACTATGCATTTTAGAAAGAATTAATAACCAGAATGTACAAGAACTCAATAGCAAAGAAACCAGATAATCTGATTTTAAAATGGGCAAATGATCTGAATAGACAGTCTCAAAAGAAGACATACTTATGGCCAACAGGTGTATGAAAAAATGTTCAGCATCACCAATCATCAGGGAACTTCAAATCAAAACCACGGTGAGATACTATGTCACCCCAGTTAAAACGGCTATCACCAAAAAGACAATAACAGATGCTGGTGAGGATACAGAAGCGGGAGGAGCTTCCACTAGTACATTGTTAGTAAGAATGTAAATTAGTACAGCCACTGTGGAAAACAATATGGCAGTTCTTCAAAAAACTGAAAATAGAACCACTACACAATCCAACAATCCACTGCTGGGTATATATCCAAAAGAAAATCAGTATATCAAATCAAAAAGGGATATCTGCACTCCATGTTCATTGCAGTGCTCTTTACAATAACCAAGGTACACAGAATATGTCCAGTGGGTGAGTGGATAAAGAAAATGTGGTCTATATACACAATGGGATGTTACTCTGCCTTAAAAAAGAATGAAATGTAATTTGCAACAATATGGATGGAACTGAAGGTTATTAAGTGAATAAGCCTGGCACAGAAAGACAAATACTGAATCTTCCCACTTGTATGTGGGAGCTAAAAAAGTTGGTCTCAGGAAAGTAGAGAGTAGAATGGTGGTTACCAGTGGTTGGGAAGGATGTTGGGGATAGGGAGTGAAGAGAGATTGGTTGATGGTACAAAAACACAGAAAGAGTAAGTTCTAATGTTCCTAGTACAATGGGGAGAATAGTTAATGATAATTTATTGTACATTGCAAAATAGCTAGAAGATTTATGTTTCCAACTCAAATAAATGTTTGAGGTGATGGATATCCTAATTACCCTGATTTGATTATTACACATTTTATTGATGTATCAAATATATATACC